ATCTAAGGCTACTTTATTGCAAACAAATAACTGTACAAACAGCTAATTTGATTTTAGACATCGTATAGTTCAGTGTCACGTCATTTTGAAATGACATGTATAGCAGTCAAGAATCATAAGAAGATTTGTACTTTCAGTGACAGGTTTACTATATATTGGCTTCACTAGAACCTAAACCGACATACAATAGTCAAATTCTATATAGAAGAGAACAAATTGGACACTGATAGACAGCAAGCCACATACCGATGGATATAATTGTGTTTATGGATAGATTCAATAGCCAGAACTGTTTCAGCTACATAAAATCTGGCTTCATCTTCAGTCAAGGTGTCCTTTCTCATAAGAAGGGTCATCATATCCCCCCCAGGTAGATATTCCATAATAAGATACAGATACTCATCATCCTGGAAAGAACAATAAAGTTTGACTATACAATTGCTGTCAACCTCTGCAAGGAGGTTCCTTTCCGCTCTGACATGCTCTACCTGAAGAGATTTACAAAACTCAAAATGAGTATGATAACCTCATGCACTTAAATAAAATCTAGCAAGACTAATAAATGCAAACCTGGCCTCTACGAAGCATCTCTGATTTCTTTAGCTTTTTCATCGCATATACATTGGCTGTCATCTTTTCCCTGCAGACCCTGACCTACATCAAATTCAAAATTTTAGCCAGCAGTCAAACCGTTAGCAGAAAAACAAGTTCAAGAACAAAGAGACTCAGTCAAGAAGTACTGCAAGTTTTATTCCAAAATCAAATGATTATTATTTTTTTTTTTTTTTTGTGTGTTACCTCAGGAACTAAAAACTACTATATTATTAGCCGCAGATGGAAATCATTCTTTTCAAGATATTCACTTATTACAAATATCTTCCTCTATATATATACACGCACACACTCTTTAAATGTGTTTAGATCGCCATAAGCCTATAAATGAATTAAGCGTTCAAACACTATAACATATAAAAGTATTAAACTTATACATACCTCGCCAAATGCACCTTTTCCAATCATCGTTAATAACTCAAAATCATCAACACCCATCTTATGCCTCTGAAGGCGCATATATTCTGTTTCCTTCTTCTCCAAGAACTTAAGAAGGTTGTTTTGATCTTCCTCTGAGACATCAGCATCGGCCAACTTCTTTTCCAAGATAGTTCGACTGATAGAAAAACTGGCTTAGAAACTTTAAGCATGCAAGTGATTTTCAAAAGCAATTATCATAATTCACATTAACATTCATGCAGAGATAATTCTTTCATCAATTTTGACATGTAGGCCTGCTAATTGTTGACTTAAAAACAAGACTACACAAAAGAAACATCTGTTGCCAACCATGTCAGCCATGGAGATGGAATTATCAGGTGAGACACGAAGCTTTGAAATAAAGAAAAGCCTTAAAAGTGTTTGTATTGCATAGACACCAAAACAAGAATGCCACATGACACTCAGACATTTATTTTAGGTGGTTTGAACTTTGTCATTGATTAATATTTCCCCCCTCTCTGTGTTTTCTTTGGGGTGGGGGAAGAAAAGTCTAATCATTATCAGCGTTAAAAAAAAAAAAAAAAGATTCATACCGCTCCCTCCTCTCCTGAAGGTTCTTCATTTGCTCCTTGTAATGGTTCTCAATGTACTGCTTGGCGGCAGCAACCTTCTGTTTTGTGGTGCTGGAAAGAGCTTCATCATCTCCCGGTTGATTTGAATCTACTCCAGCACTATCCTCCTTTTTCTTTAACGATGACCTCATTTTATCTCGTGGTTGTAACCTTTGCAACCAGCTCCTTGCGGAATCCATTTAACTACGAGTTCAGCAGCAACCTCAATGATCCCTAACCATCTTGCTGTATAAAAGAAAGAAGCCAAAATCCCTTAAAAATTAGCTTGCATGAACTTATCGAAAAAATCTAATCGCACGAAATCTGAATCCAAAAAAGCAGCAGACACGGCGACAATTTCCAGACTAACATGAAGCCCCCCAAAAAAAAAAATTACTGCCGTTCCCAAAAAGGAGTCGTTGGAAACAAATAACCTGATTCCCCCCATTCGGAGTTGTCATATAACCCAATTGCAATGAAAGACATCTACATTTGTTAAAATTTACTTCAGAAACACGAAACAGTTTCACCAGGATACCTTAATTCCTCAGTTTAGAGCACTCCAAAATAAAAGCCATATCATATATTACGCAAGGTGGGAGGACCCAAGAATTAAATGAATCTAGAAACATTCGGGATCAAATGGAAATCGAAATATCACATCCGAGGAGACGGATTTCAGAAGTGCTGATAGTGGAAAAAGCTGAGAATTCGGATTACCGCGAAATTAATAGTCGAGTCCGTGAAACCCTAAAAAGGGGAAGAGAATTGGCAATGATACCATCAATCTCGGTGCGCACTCGCTTGGCTGGCTCCGGCACTGCGAAACTCAAATGACTTCTCCGCGGGACGCTCTTGAACTCGTATATGGGATGGCCGGCGACCCTTCCATTTTATATAGTTTCTTCATCTCTCTATTGCATCGAATATTGAAACCGGCTCTCGTTTCCCTTTTATTTGTATTTTCAATTTTATTGCTAAATTAAAAAAAAAAAAAACACACACACACACACAACGATATAAATATTTCACTTTTAATTTAAGATATAAAATTATTACTTATTTTAATTTTCAGCTTTAACGTTTAAAAATTAGTTACTTCGGATCCCGCGAGAAAACCGGCACGACGAGGTTTTCTTATGCCGCCGCTGTCCCCTGACTATAATGCTTTTTTTTTTTTTTTTAAAACCCCTGACTGTAATGTTTCCCCTCTTCAGACTCAACATTAGTTTAGATTTAATAAGCATTTTCGTAGTCATAACTTAAAGTAATACTCATCCATAACCAATAAATCTTTTTGCTGGATCGTGTATCGTATAATTGAAAATTTTTAATACTTTTTATATCGACAATATTTCACTGTCCGTCGGGGAAGCAACTAGCAAGGACTCTTTCTCTTGACAAATGACAAGGCAAAAACACTGTCTTTCCAAAGGGAGAAACAGAAATAAACTTGTCCAAAAAATTTGTGAAAACACAAAGTTCGAAACCAGAAATTTTTACAAAAAGTGTTATTATTTATAAATTATTTATTGTCAAAAACCTATTAATGTATCGAATGATTTTGTAATTTTCACAGTTTTTATCTATCATTTTTCTCCCAGGATTAATTGCGCCTTCGCAAAAATTAATTGGAGTTTTGCAGAGTAATGGTCGATCAACTGGGCTTTGCATCAGCGGTCATCACTCTGTGCTTATGTTCAACACCAAACTTCTGAAAACAAGAGCAATTAAGCTTTAAGAAGCTTTGAATTTATAATTCTGCGGAGCTTGTTGGCGTGTGTGCGCGTGTATAAAATTCTTTGGATGAAGAGATGTCCTTTTTGTCCTTTTTTTTTTTAATCATCGATTATTGAAAGATGCCAGTCAATTTCTGCGTCCGTATCAGTTTTTTTCCCATCTTTGTACGTACGATAATTCTTCAACTAATAATGCGTTTAACTGTTTATAATCACTTGCGAGAATTCTTGTACGCATTTTCTTGGCCCTTTCATTATGAAATTGGGTAAAGATGTGAATAATATGCCTCCACTAGTATAACGCATTTCATATTTATTTATATACTACCTCCGGTCCTTAATATAAGATCCCGTTTGACTTTTAGCTTGGTCCTAATTATAAGACCCCAATCTATTTTGTCTATCATATTTATACATTTTTTTCCAAGATAGTCCTTTTAATAATGATAGCTCTAACCAATATACTTAATTAGCAAGGATATTTTAGGAATGACAACACTTATTTATTACAAATAACTAACTTAACTTACTTCCTTAATCTCCTCAAATTAGTCAACTGGGTCTTATAATTAAGACCGGAGGTAGTATATATATTAATCATTCTTATCCTAAACATAGGACTTTCTTAACCAAAATTTGTAAATTAAGAAATGTAGTTAAATATAATTAACAATCTCAATGTTTTGAAAAAATCACATCCTTCCGCCAAATCCACCCTCATTCAAATGTACTGGGGAAAAATGGATGTAATGAGTATGCTCTAGTTCCTCACCAATCATCACAGGGGATATATCTGATAACAACTAATAAATACTGCATCATACCCCATAACGGATCCGATATTTATTTTGACAATGGAAAATGGTGGAGTGTTTAGGAGGAGGGAGTAGTGTTTTACTGTGATTGGCTCAAATTACACATTTTCCGCACATCAAACGCAGTTTACAAATTGTTTGGTGTGAAAGGTCCCGTGATAAGTGAACCAAGGCCAATAGAAAGTTTCTGGATGGGTTGAGGTGGTTGGGAAAACAGAGTTGGAGTAGAGTGGCATTGTCGTCAAATAGTGACGCAAGCTTAATAAGTAGTTGGCCGGCGGGAATATCAACATTTGGTTCGATCGATCCATTCAACCCGATTTTGCACGACGCTTCGTGCTCTCACAAGCTTTTTCAGTGTAGCATACTACAAATGAAACCGTCCAATCTGAGATTTACGAGAGAAACCAGAAAAAGCGTGCTTAAGTTTTATACCCCAAGGTGATGCCCTCCAAGCGATTCAGAAACGCATATGTATTCTCAGTTCTCAACAGTCATTTTGATAGAGTCAACTGAGGTGCTAAAAATAAGCTGCCATCCAAAGCATGGCCGTTGGACTTCAAATAAAATTTCAATTCCTAGAAAATGAGAAAACACAAGGATGAAGAGAAAAGAAAAGTTCGGTTACTTGACCTTTGGAAACAGGTAAACTTCAAAATATCAGAGGCCCAGATTCCTATGATGTGTATAATATTAATTAAAACAGACGGACGGAAAGGAAAATTTGACCGCCAAATACTAGGACACAGGATATTTAAGATCAAGGCCCTCCACGTTAAATTTGACCTTTGGAACAAACAAATCTTTCAACACTCCAGAGCTGGTCATTCACGGGTGAAAAATAACAGCACAACGCATTGCCATAAACATCCAGTTATGGCGAAGTTTGTATCATTTATGGTGTGATAAATTGATCGTACAACATTATTTTCCGAAGGCAACCCCCCGTGACTTTGACATATCCACCAGGCTTGTTTACACATAACTTACAAGCATGAAATAATTGATTACTCATATTTGTCTCTGAACATGAACTCCTTTTATCAGAAACTTCTATCAATTGAATCTGCCTTACTCATCAACTGACGAGCACGAAGGAATCGATTACTCATATATGTCTCTGAGCGTAAACTATATTCACTCAGAAATTTCTTATCACTAGAAACTACCGATAGTATGCCATGTGTCTTGATGAAATAAAAGGAGAACTACCAAAAGAAGTCTTCTGGACGTTGGAAGCATGGTTTACAGGGTTCTTCTTTTCAAGCTTTGTCTCAGCACGGAGCCATGATTCAACAACAGATAGCAGATTGGACGAATACTTCAACTCACCAATATCTGATAACTTTTCTGCCCTCCTGAGCTCACCGTCTTGTATGTATGCTAGATGAGTGGCCCATGTCTCCAGTCCATCAAATATATGAGTTGCATATACAATTGTAGCTCCTCTCTGACAAAAATAGAAAACATCAGAAACTCTAATAATAATTGATAATCATTTTTCAGAAACCCTTCACACAAGCCATTACAAGATGGGCACACCAGCCAGCCATATTGGCTTCAAATTTTATCAATGCATTACGTTTTCCACAGTTGTTTTACAATTGACATTATGACATATGCTTGACCATCTGCAGAAACTTATACTTTTTTCCTAAAAAATAATATTACTATATTATTGTACGGTGATCATGATCCCAGATCCCCCGTAAGGAACAGCCATGGACGAAACTAATGTTGCACATGGAGCTGTCCTTTCTGCAGTTCTCCATAACCATATCCAGCTCAGCATGCATATGAAGTTAGTGATCACCTGCTCACATTCTTCCCTGAAGAAGTCCAGCAAATCCATCCTAGTAACAACGTCTAGGTCCACAGTAACCTCATCCAGCAAGAGAACCTGAAATGTCATTTAAGACTTCCTATTATTTATCAAATAATCATTTAGAGAAGTCAGATAGAAATAAATAACACTTCCTGAGTTATGACCTGAAGTACTGGCTATGTGAAACGCAATAGTCCATTTTTTTAATACTTGGGGTAAAGAGGTATGTGGTTCCACCATACAGCTGAAACTGAATTTATTTACAGCAGCCCGACAACCATCCACAAACTTTCCAGACTATTAATCATTAGTACCTTATATGGATGAAGAAGACCCATGCAAATTTGCACTCGGCGCCGCTGCCCATCAGATACCTTATGCATTCGCCACTGTAGATCTATATCAAGCAAATCAATCAACTTATCTCTCCTTTCAGGATCTGTGCCCTCAACTGCCAAAAAAGAAAGGAATACATATATTGTTTTAGACGCTGTAACTAAAGAAGGTGGCAATGCAACTTAACCACGACTGTATCTAACAGTTAGACACTCTGATTTTGAATTCCCAGATATCATAAAAACATCGATTCAAAACCATGGAGTGCAGAAAAAGACATAGCATGATCTCAACACTTCACACACGCATGCGCGCGCACACACTATCCGGTATGTATATAGCCAGTAAGAGTTACTTAAAGGAATCCAAGTTGATGCATGATTCATTCCTCTCAACTCAAATCGGAGATGCATTAGGAAGCAATGGAAACTAGTTTATAACCTACCCCCAAATATCATATGTTCAGCTGAGAAGTCTCCCTGGAGTGGAATTTCTCCCTGCACAGTAGCAATGAAATCAAAATTAAGAAACAAATTGAGCAAAGCATATAAATACAGTTTGCGGGGAAAATATCAGTAAGATAAAAATCTTACAAAAAATTGCAAGAGTCCAAGACCTTCAATTATTGATAGTGTGTTTCAAAATTTTATCAGCATCAAACTCTCGTTTATGCCTAAGTCCATATCACATGAGTCATGTTGGCGATGCACAGTTGTTCAATAAAACAACCATTGTTTAAACAAGTGAAATAACTATCTAATAACGCTAGCTGCAAGAATTGAGACTGTACATCTTAAAGTATTCACTAGTTAGCGTCCACCCACTTTCAACAGCTTTGCACCTTATAGGCAAACTCTTACCATTTTTATCATGGTGATAACTCTTCTATGAAAAAAGAAATTACATTGAGATCAGAATCTGGAAACTCACTGCTGAGCCAACAGTTTTACTCCAGGATCCTCCCAAATAGGCGAGATCACCACCGCAAACCAGTTGGGTATCGTGGAAAGCAGAACAATTTAAGACCCGTACAACATCCCTTCCTCCGACCATATGCTTACCAGCCAGAATTTTCAGCAAAGTGGTCTTCCCTGCAGATTGGACCAATTCTGAATCAATAACGTTCTAGTTCTCCCTCTGGCCTAATCTTAGCCAGTAGAAAACCCGTGGAGATGCATTTCTACACAGGAACAACATGATATCGATTTTAACACCAAGATACATTCGCCTAATATATTAAACTTTCCGAACTATCAGCAAAAGTCATAAAGGTACACTTATTTTAAGGTTGATTTGACTCTGAAGCTCTTTGTGAATCAACAGACACTTCCCACAGCATTACGCGGAACATTAATGGGAAAGAAATAATTAAAGAGGAAAATATCCGAGGGAACTGCTTTACCGGATCCATTGGCACCAACCAGAAGGCATCGCGATCCAGTACAGATTTTAAGGTTGAAGTCGACAAAGAGTGGTGGTTGCCCATCGTAGGCGAATTGCATACCTCGCACTCTAATTCCACTGCAGCCTTCATTTCCATCTTCTTCCTTATCTTCGCTTCTCTGCCTCGGAACTCCTTCGCCGTCGGCCATTATGGTGGGGGGCGCTCAGGCGTTGGGAATGAAGTAAATTTGCCAGCAAATATGGTTGCAAGTCGTAACACGTCCGCGCTTGCGGTCGTTGGGAATAAAGTCGGTTGACGACAAGAAAAAAGAAGAAACGACGTCAGTTAGGTTACAGATGCCTTAAAACGACATAGAGTCCGCGGTTTACCAATAAAACGACATGAAATCTCGGGTCCGCTTGCACCTTGCGCAAGAAGCAAGACTACGGCGCTCGCGCAATGTTTTTTATTTCTGCCCGAGAAAAACGAATTGAAGACGTCGCATGCTCGCGTTAAGCGCGAACGGGTAGAGGAGGCGGTTGCAGCATCACTTCGGATCAAAGCTTGTCTAATTTATATTCGTTACTTGTCGAATTCGATTCTTGGAAAATAATTTATGAAACTGAACGGTCGAGACCTGATCGAACCTAGAAGCAAGCAAGGGTTCTTGTCCTTGTTTTGTTTTTGGCAATTGAAGTTGGTAATTATGAAATTGAAATTGGTCGTAGTGCACTGTGGGTTTGGTCCAAAAGAAAGCAAGTGCTGCTTTAGTATGCTGAGATTTTCCATGTTTATCTCTTGTAGGCGGCTTTAGTTGGTGTGAAATAATATTATGGAGGAAGACGAAGACAGAATCTTACTCAATAGTTTGGGCCTAGAGTCTGCCAATCACGAATGCATCGAAAAAGACGTATTAGCTGAGGTACCAGGTCCTGATTCTGGACCGTTGGCTTTTTGGTTGCTTTCGGGTTTCAATTTTACCGCTGACTCCGCCAAGCTCAATTGTAATGCTGCCATCTCCATTAAATTGGTGAACTTTTAAGGACAGTCTACGAGAATAGTCTGAAATTTTGTTTTGGCCAAGAAATAGATTTGAGTCGAATCAAAATAGCCTGATAGTTTTCCCTTCTCATTGTGGTTTCAGTAAGAACTGCCCCTGCTATTTCGATTTTAAAAGGAAACGCCCCACGGGATTCTCATTTGCCGTTCCATTGCATCTTAAATATATGTAACTAGTTAGTTGCAATATATGGGTAGCTTTATTTTCAATTTAACCTCAAATTTTAGTGTACCTTATCGTTATGCGACAGAAACTGCGTCAGCTTGAAAACTTTGGTGGCGTTCAAGTTTTTTATATGGTCCTATGACAATATTTCTCAAAAGAGGAGAAAGAAGTATTAAAAATAGAATATTGTGATGCAGATTCAAAGTCATTTTTCAGGTTTGTCGTCCTTAGAATGTAAAATGAAAACCTATGGATGAATAGCAAGTCCATTCCTTGATCTTTGCTTTTTAGGCATCTTAAAAGAAAAGAAACATACTTATATACATACACGCATAATTGGATGGCATTAAAAGATAGATAAGGATTAATGAGCCTCCAGAAAAAATTCACTAGCACTTCTAACTCCTGTTCTTTCTCCATTATTATGTTTAAAAACTCTCATGAGAAACTTGATGTTGAGATTTAATTGTAACTGAATATGATTTGTGGGATCTCACTTGTCTTGCTTGGGAAATTATCTTTAATCCAATTCTTAAAATTTGATCACGGAGAATGTTAACTTGTAGGCACAGAATGACGTGGTGACCATTACTGAAGCTGATGGAAATTCAAAGGAAGAGTCTCCTCAGAAATATGAAAATGTTGATCCATCATCTATTGGCAAAGCGCAACTTTATCATAAGTTGAGAGCAGTAGATTTTGAAATAAATGCAGTTGCTTCCACTATCCAACAAGTGAGAAATGCTGAAAGTGATGGAGTTTGTATTGATGGTGGTGCTGACAATCGGGAGGAAGGGACTACCAAGGATATTTCCTCCAACGGTTTGAATCTTCAACATGTTCTTGCTTCTGATAGGTTAGAAAGCCTAAAGAAGACAAAGGCTCAACTAGAAAAAGAGCTTTTAGATTTGTGCAAAGAGAAACCTTGCAGAAGTATTGATGGGGACAAAGATAATGAGATCTTTAATTTGGTTAAGGAAGAGCGAAGATCCAAGAGGAAGCCTAAAGAAGTTAAAAGTTTACCAAAAGGCTCAGGGAAACAGCGTAAAACAGTTTCATTTAATGACGATGTTGATTTTGATGCAGTTTTAGATGCTACCTCAGCAGGCTTTGTTGAGACGGTGAGTTACTTACATTCTTGTGTTCTGGCCTATTGATTAATCTGTGATAAGACAGGAAAATACATTTTGCTTTATGTTATAAGTTGCTTTGCTGAGAATGAATCAACTGTGAAGGATGCTATTGGTAGATAGAGAAGTGGAGGAGCTAATTTTCTGCTTCATTTTTTTTCAGGAAAGGGACCATTTGGTAAGGAAAGGGATTTTGACCCCATTTTCTAACCTGAAGGGCTTTGAACGCCGCTTTCAACAATCAGAAACATCTAGTAGTTATGGTGTGAGTCAAGAAGAAACGACTGATGATCTTGCTTCTTCTAGTATTGAAAGAGCTGCCCAATCAATATCTGAGGCAGCAAGAGCTCGCCCAACCACCAAGTTGCTTGAGTCTGAAGATCTGCCAAAACTTGATGCACCCACTCATCCTTTTGTCAGACTCAAAGTACCACTAAAACTTCCTCAGTCCCAAGAAAGAGAGCTAGAGAAGAAAAATAATTTGAAAAGGAAAAAGAGGCGACCTTTGCCTGGTAGGAAATGGACAAAGCGTGTTTCTTGTGAGGAAATACAGTCAAGAGAGACTGGTATGTCTTATGTTTTTTTCATATGGTGTTTGAGTTCCTTATTATGATGATAATCGAGAAGGGGAAAATTAGACTAAGATAATAGGCATCCAATGATATGATTTCAAAACTTACATAATGATCCTCTCAAACACAAATTAGATTAGAAAAACATCTCTTAATTTTTGTTCAAACCAAACGTATCTTTACTCAATCTTCAAACACATACAAACTTCTCCCAAGTCGGTATAATTTCAGCAAAATTCAGGAAAAATCGGTTGTTAGTTTATTCGCTGATGATTGTAAGCTGTGTCTTGGTTCTCTGTGGATGGTGGTGAAGGTGACTTGTCCACGAACCATTCCCTACCATAAAATGGTTTCTTTCCATTTTAAAGCCCTTGACTTCTTTGTTTGTGCCATTATATGCAGTTTTTATGTGTCTTCATACTTAAGTTGTTGCATGCTTTTCAGATGAATCAAGTGGTTGCCTGGACCCTTCCAGTTGTGAAAATTTAGATGCACAGGATTTTGAATCTGACGATCACGAACCTTCTTTTATAACATTAGAAGGCGGACTGAAAATCCCTGATAATATTTTCGATGCACTATTTGACTATCAAAAGGTTGGTGTTCAGTGGCTGTGGGAATTGCATTGCCAAAGAGCTGGTGGAATCATTGGTGATGAGATGGGTCTCGGTAAAACCATCCAGGTTTTATCTTTTCTTGGTGCATTGCATTTTAGTGGCATGTATAAACCAAGCATTATCATTTGTCCTGTGACCCTGTTGCGACAGTGGAAAAGGGAAGTTCAAAAATGGTACCCAAAATTTCATGTAGAGCTTTTACATGATTCTGTGCGAGAACCTGATGTTAGAAAGAAGCAGTCCAAGTGTGATGAATCGGACTATGATAGTAATAGTTCAAGTGACAGTGATTATGAGACCAATATTCAATCAAAAAGCACAAGAAAATGGGAATCCCTGATAACTCGTGTAATGAGAACAGAATCTGGATTGCTTATCACAACATATGAGCAGCTCAGAATATTGAGGGACCTGTTACTCGACATTGAATGGGGTTATGCAATTCTTGATGAAGGACACAGAATAAGGAATCCAAATGCTGAAATTACGCTGGTTTGCAAACAGCTGCAGACTATACACCGTATCATAATGACTGGCTCACCTATACAGAACAAACTGACTGAACTGTGGTCATTATTTGATTTTGTTTTCCCTGGAAAGTTGGGTGTTTTGCCTGTATTTGAATCCGAGTTTGCTGTTCCTATAGCAGTTGGTGGATATGCAAATGCTTCACCATTACAAGTATCAACAGCATACAGGTGGCTCTGATCTTCCTTTTTGTTAATCTTCTTGTCACATATGGAATTGGCGTCTGTTAAATTATCTGGTTATATAGCGTATAAATAATAGGGAACAGAATATTCACCCATTCAAGTTCTGGTGGGGAAGTAGAGAAATGGAACAAAGAAGGATTTTCAGTTAGACTGTTGGTATATTTTGTTAAGGCGGTACTGTCATAAGTTTTCTAGCTCATTAGCTGCAACACCAAATAATTAGTTAAATTTTTACATTTTGCAGGTGTGCTGTGATGCTTCGTGATTTGATCATGCCTTATCTTCTTCGGCGGATGAAAGCAGATGTGGATGCCCAGCTTCCGAAGAAAACTGAACATGTTTTATTCTGTAGCCTTACTACCGAGCAAGTATCTGCGTATAGAGCATTTTTGGCAAGCTCTGAAGTGGAGCAAATCCTGGATGGACGGAAGAACTCTCTTTATGGAATTGACGTAATGCGTAAGATTTGCAACCACCCTGACTTGCTTGAAAGGGAACATGCATTTAGCAATCCAGACTATGGAAATCCAGAACGCAGTGGGAAAATGAAAGTTGTGGCACAGGTGCTTAATGTTTGGAAGGAACAGGGTCATCGAGTTCTTCTCTTTACTCAAACCCAACAAATGCTTGACATTATTGAGAACTTTTTGAACACTTCTGGCCATAATTACCGGAGAATGGATGGAGTTACTCCCATAAAACAAAGGATGGCTTTAATTGATGAATTTAATGAGTCAAGTGAAGTATTTATATTCATTTTAACAACCAAAGTTGGGGGCTTGGGGACGAATCTTACTGGTGCAGACAGGGTGATTATCTTTGACCCTGATTGGAATCCTTCAACTGACGTTCAGGTAATTTTTTGTTTTTGATACATCCTGCCGGGTCTTCAAATAGTTTCAGCACAACTGTGAAACTTTCATTGGTAACTTTGTGTTGTTCATATAGTTATTTAATATCCTGGAAAAACATCATTATCTTTTTTATTTGTCATCATTATTGCTTTTATTAGGCCAGAGAACGAGCTTGGCGAATTGGTCAGACACGGGATGTGACAGTATATAGGTTGATCACACGTGGAACTATAGAGGAGAAAGTGTATCACCGTCAGATTTACAAACATTTTCTTACTAATAAGATATTGAAGAACCCACAGCAGAAAAGATTCTTTAAAGCTCGAGATATGAAAGATCTTTTTACACTGAACGTGGATGACAAAAGTGGGTCAACTGAAACGTCAACTATTTTCGGTCAAATATCTGAAGAAGTATATATTGCTGGGCCACACGAAGATAAGCAAGATAAGCATAAACATCCTCAAACTGCTGAATCAGGTTCTGGTGATGTTGTAGTTAATAGCGATGGCAGGTCAAAAACCAGATCAGCCAAGGGAAAGGGAAAAGAAAAGACAGATCGTCTTGATGAAGCAGATGAGGAAACAAATATATTGAAAAGTCTTTTTGATGCCCATGGATTACATGTAAGGTTCTTCATTGTGTTTCATTTTACCTCCAATTTATCAGTGTCTTTGATTTTATTCAATTCATTGTTGGAAATTTGCATACTGTTGATGAGTTGAGAATGGAGTGAATAATGCAACAAGTGAGCATATGTTGCGTAGTATTAATTTTAGTTACTTTAACCATTCTCATTTAGAGTTTATATATTCATTTGGATTCTGTTCCTTTTAAAAAGAAACACACACACACACACACACACACACACACACACCCCTTAGATTTGCTTTACCCTTTCTTTCTTTCTTTTTTTCAAGTGGTATTTGGCCTCCTTGATCTAACTTGTTTTACGGGCGTAGAGTGCTGTGAACCATGATTTGATCATGAATGCCAATGATGAGGAAAAAATGAGGCTTGAGGAGCAAGCTTCCCGGGTGGCACAGAGAGCTGCAGAAGCTTTACGTCAGTCACGAAAGCTCCGAAGTCGTGACAGCATTGCAGTTCCTACATGGACAGGAAGGTCAGGAAGTGCTGGTGCACCATCATCTTTCCGTCAAAAGTTTGGTTCAACCGTGAATTCCCAGTTGGTAAGGAATTGCAAAGAATCTGATGAATTGACTGGTGATGGAAGTAGAAAATTAAATGGATCTGCTGCTGGGGCATCTGTTGGTAAGGCATTATCTTCTGCTGAGCTTTTGGCTCGAATCCGGGGTAACCAAGAAAAAGCCATTGGTGTTGGGCTAGAACATCATCTTGGCACGGCCGTTAACCCATCTAATCAAGCAAGATCTGTGGATGTCGGATCCTCTAGGGCTTCTAAAAAGGTAGATGGGGTGCAACCTGAGGTACTGATTCGGCAAATCTGTACATTTCTACAACGGAGAGGTGGTTGTTCTGATTCCTCCAGCATAGTGCAGCATTTCAAGGACAGGATACCCTCAACAGATCTTGCCCTGTTTAAGAATCTGTTAAAGGAAATAGCATCTCTGGAAAAAGGACCAAATGGATCACAATGGATTCTGAAGCCAGACTATCGAGAATGATAAGCAAGTCCTACACGATTGGTAAATTGTGTTGATGGAATTGTCATTTCGTTGCCTGGTCTCTAAGCCTGCTTCTTCAAGTCGTCAAGGGGGGTATTTTTGGCAAGTTTTTGAGTTATGGGGATTGTAGATTTTTTCCCATGTTATTTCACAACTGATATGTGGCTATGCGTGAGTTTAATCTGCTCTTATCTAAATTCTGGGCAGATAAAACTAACGAGAGTTATAGAGAGCTGTTCAAATATGATCACTATCTTGTGGTCAGATAAAATATGATCATATTTTTGTAGGATGCAGCTGGAAGAAAGTACCTATATTTTTTACCTGAGAAGGATTTGCAGACTGCGGCGCAAGTTTGTGAATCCTGAAGGAACAAAAAATGGGGAAGCAGGACTGCTTTTGCCGTTGTAAAGGGTGATTTTGTATAACGGCCAATTGCGAACGGTCTTTTCCCGCTATGGAAGGGTGATGGCGGTGCGTTTTACCTTTTGTCGAGAAAAAAGGGAGTGGTGGCGATGCTCTTCATCTAGTTGACGAACTTACCTCTGTATAAGGATGTTGCCAAGGAGTAGATCCTCGGCTTGTACTTCCCAGTTGAGAAGCATTCTGGAGCTACCCCTTCTTCTTCCTTCCTTCTTTTCTGCTGACATTTTATTCGGAAGGAAGTAAACTAATTTGAGATTTACTAGCATAATGAAATTGCATGACATTTTTGAGAGAGGTAGGGTTTGCTCCGATGCACAGCAGAGAAAATTTGCGGTTGATTGTAGAGTGAGCTTGCATCACGCTTGATTAAAGGCAAGTTGCGAGTGTGTAGTATTTTGTATCGGAAGATTATTACAGAAAATGGAAAAAAAAAAAACCTAAAAAAGCAGAAATTATTAGTGATTTTTTTTAAAATTTTTGGTGAACTGAGGTAATTACTAATTATTACCTAACTTAATATAAGATTCAGTAGTCTAATTTAGGAAAGTTAAAAAAATTACTAACTTACTTAATCATAACTTATGTTACATAATCTTTTTAAAATACTTTTATATATTGTTACATTATATATCAATTTATAAGTAAATAAATATTTTAAAATAATTTAATAATTTTTTCAAATTAATCAACTAGCTTTTCATATTAAAAATTAGGTATAATTGATCAAAGATCAACGGCATTGTAGCATGAACACACTCTTATTGGAACAGAATTTCGGAAAACATCCTAGTAAGAGTCAGCTTAAGGAAAAATAGTCATTCTTTTCTATAGATACTGTATGTAACTAGTACAATCCGAGGAAATTAAGGAAGTCATGGACATTTGGCAGGAATTTATTCCTGAATATATCGAGTTCCTTGTACCATATGCAGACTCATTTACTTCCGGCACAACCTGCTTCAGCCTCTCGTCAAGAAATAACCAAAAACGTGTGTATGTAACTATGTATTCAGGGATTTTAATTCTTCATACAATCAGAAGGCTGCCCATCCTGATGCAGTAGTCGATCCTGACGCAGCCGTTGAAGGAAGGTTCCTCTGTAAATGTCAACAACAAAAAATGAGGAAATAAATGGATTGATCCGAAACGGATCACGGCTCAGGGAACTCAAGCATGTTTATATAATGTAGAATCCTTGAAAATACAGCCACTCGATGTTCACGTGGGGGAACTTCTTAATGGACTTCCATCACATCAAGACACCATCACCACGAATCCCCCAGTAAGTGACTAGGTAAGGGATATGTGTCATACCAAGGTAACTGTTCCTTCTCCAATCAATATGTTTCAATCACATTGCAATCTAGATTGATAATTGGGATATAAAACTACAGTTCAATAATTAAGGGGTCGATATTTCTACATTTTTATAACAAGTAATGAACCGCCAATGTCACTGTTCTTATTGTATGTCTTGAATCTAGCTAACCTGGAACTGTTAATGTAGCTACTGGAACTGGAAGCATGGCTCTAGTGATCTTCTAAATTAGATTCAGTTCAACGATACAAGTGAACTGAAGTTGCTATTTGCGTCAAATAAAATAAAGATCAGGCTCTAACATGCCATGAACATCCCAGATCATATTGACAGATATTGCATGCAATAAGGAAACGACAAAAGGATGAGCAGACCATTCTACCTTTAGTTGAGAAAGATCTGAAATAGAATCAGTAGACTGTCTCACGCTATCATTCGATCCTTTAAGATCAGTACTCTGACTGGTAGATATCTTCCGAGCAGCAACAGGATCATTTGGAGGGGGCGGAAGGGGAGACCTGATTTTTCCTGCTCCGGCTGGCGGGGGAGCAAGGCTCAATGCTTTAGGCTTCGCAGTTCCAGAATGCCCACCTGCTAAACCAGCTGCCGAAAGCATGCCAGTTCCAGTAGATGGTTTGGGTTTCACGTTAATCCGAATGGTTTCCCCTTCCTGCAGGTTCCAAACGACAGAGAAGTCAGTGTGAGACAATATGATGAAACGGAGAAGTCGTAGGGCTCAGTCCCATTTGGAGAGACCAAATGGTGCTGTCGATTATCAGAACAAACAAGAGTAAAAAAATGCAGTATCCTCTTTTTCGAATTTGCTTGGAAGGGAGGAGAGCATTAAAAAGAGATTCGTTCTCATGATGATGTGAAAGATACGCATATCTCAAATCTCAATAGCCACGTAATGCGTCCATTGTACAGAGCAACACGAAACAGAGCCGCTGAGAAATCACACGAACGAAATGGAATAGATAGCTACACTGATATCAATTAGCCACTTATAAGTGACTGGAAATCAGACAAACATGGCAGTGTACCACGCTTTGTTTCCTCAAACTCAGCATGTAGGACAATCAAAGCAACTTTTCTCTTCAATAAGGCACATCCTATTTTTCAAGATTATAAAATGCGCAATAAACAACGTCACAGTGAGACGGTATTGTATTATACGTATACCTTCAATCTGTGATTTACGGCTGGATGAATATCAATATGAGATTCCTCGCACGCCTCGCCGGATTCTCTCTCATGTTCCCTTCTCACATACTTGTCGTGATCCGACAATGCCACATTGAAGTCAAAAGCTTCATTTCGTTCCGCAAACCCTAAACCTATAAACGCGTGCTTACCCTGACCGTCCTCGATCTTCAGGACAAAGTACCTGGACGAGTCGAGGGTGGACTCCACCGAGTTCTCGCGTTGGCCAGGGTAGACGAAACAAGCGGCGAATAACTCCCCACTGTTTGGATCCTCCAGTCGGATCTCGCACCGATCCTTGCACGATACGACTCTGAGCCGACCGGACCATATTTTATCGGATTGCAGCCATTCGCCGCACTTGTACCCACCGGCCGTGGTTCGGGGCGGAATCTTGTACACCGAGACCTCGCGGACTACAAGGAGGGTGTGCTCGAATGCCTCCTCCTCTTCAAAAGACATGGTTGAGGAAGCGGAAGTTTTCGAATTGAGGGAACAATGTGAAAGGAATTTGGACAGGGTTCGAGTGGATTGATCGAATCTGATGATGAAGCAAGGACCCGGGGGAAGACGATCGGATTATTTGTGAAGAATGGATTAGAGTGAATTTCCGGCGATTTTGATGTGAATTAGAGCCTTGGATTACCGAGAGAGGTATGAAGGTGAGACTGAGGCATCAACTGGGAGATCAGAGTCGTGGGCTTAAAGGCAGCTTGAGAGATCAGTCATAAAGTTGAATAAACAATCAATCAGTATTCAACGCTGATAATTATTTACATAAACACGGATTTGGCTTCAGAAGAGTCGAGTATAACAATCACTCCGTCAATCGCATGGTTTTAATTCAGCTGATTGGAGTTTTTTTTTGTTTTTTTGATGCTGATTTATCGGGTTTTGCTATTCAAACTTGTAAATGTGCCCATTCTTCTTTTCATCCTCTTCTGTTTTAGCAAAATTGTATGTGTACCTATTCTATTTAACTGCGTGTTGTCCATTAGTGAAATTATAATTGTTATGCAATACGGAGCATGTTAATATGTGTATATTGTTAGGTACTAATATTCTTTTATTAAAGACAATTTTATTTGAGATATTATTACTTGCTAAATATTGATACTTTTCTTAAAAAAAAAAAGCATGTTCGTATAAATTTGTTTGAGGTTCTACGTACAAGTACATTAAAGTTTTGATATTTTTTATTGCTGGCCAAAAGAGTGTGCTCCTAAGTTTCATTGCTACGTATTATTAATTAAATCACGAGTCCTACAATACTTGAAATTTTTTTTTGAGATTTAGAGGCTGTTTAGGAAGTATTAGAAGTGTTTCTGAAAAGTATTTTTCTGTAAATCAAGATAAACTCCTTTATATATTTACTGTATATATCGTAAAAATACTTTTAAAACTATAGTTTTGATTTCATCCAAACACTTTTTTAGCATAAGAGGCAATACTTGTATTTAGAGATAAAAATAGGCTAAAGACTACATGAAAGTATGTGTTGGGAAATTCATTATTGTGATCAATCATTTGGGAATTCTGTAAGCTGTAAAATTAATTTTTACAATTTTTACTATACGAATAATGTCATGTAATGGTTTTTAGGACTTGAAAGGAAAAATCGACCAGGATTCACAACACAAGTAACCTGAGTTTGGGTCATTAACTAACTGCCACCATAATTACTTGTCCAATTCAAGTCTGAAGAACGTAGTTTTGGGAGAAGAAAATGTAAAGAAAGCAAAAGGAAAGTGCTTTGGGCCAATATATGAAAACTTATAGTTCTTTGTGGGCCCAATAAATTTACTGTGTTCACCACTTACATGTTATACTAACAATTGAGAGAGTGTTTGGGTAAGATCAAAACTATAATTTCAAAAGTGTTTTTACGATATACAAGATAAATATGTGAAAGAGTTTGTCTCAATTTGCTGAAAAATACTTTTGAAAAGTGATTATTAGAATATCCAAACACCTTCTGAGTCTAACAAAAAGAATTAATCTTAAAAATAGTTCGTCTCTCACAACATAATAAATCAAGATTCAAATCTCACTTAAAAAAAATATTCATATTTAATATCTAACAGTCTATATAACACGATTACATCTGATAAGAGTATACATGTGCCTGTTAAAAAAGAAAAACTACCGGGTTACTGTGTTTTTTTTAAAAAACAAAAAAATATGTTACTTATAGCTGATTGATATGGGCACAAAGGACCCCAATTTTTACCCAAAAGAGATAAAAAATCAGCCCTTAAACCTGCTCGGCAATTAAACGACAACTCAGGGTTAGTTCTGGGAATTGGAATTTAGTGCGAAGACTTCCCCCGGTCAGCCGTATCCTCGTGTTATAGTATCATCGCCGTGTTCTCCAGTTCCATGACACTCAGAGCCAGGACCCAAACTTGAACTATATTCCAGTAGAGGTCGTCGCCATCGAAGTGCAAGTACTGAGCTACTCAGCCCACAATATCATGTTTCATACACGTATGATTTGACTCCTTTCTCCCCGATCAAACCTTAACTGATCCGCATGCAAAATTACTGATGAAGTCATTCACATGCTGCTAATTGAAATGACCTGAGTTATTGGTGCAGGAATGGCCAGAAACCTAGCTGCATTTCTGGTGTTGCTTCTGTCCGTTTCGATCTGTGAAGCGGCGACGATTTACGAGCCGATCTCGGATTCTCATCGAGCTGTGGCTTTAGAGCTCTTCGCGCCTATTAATGGATCGTATTCTAGGTGAACTAAACCCTAATTAAACCCTTATTAATCTTAGGATGCTATTGTCCATTCTCTTGCTTCCATCGGAGAACGGAGGGCTGGTGAGATAGTCTTGTGCCGCCCAATTGTTCTCGGCCCCAATTACATTTTGATAGCACCAAAAAAGAAGGGAAAAAAATATACTTTTTGGCGATTCAGAAATAAATTCCTTTGGCCTATTGCTTTTCTTAGGTGTCGTGTATTATAGTTAATTTCTTTGGTTTGCATCACTCTGATAGGCAGCTAATTATTATTTTGCATTATCACCTATCAGTTTAGAAGATACATATGAGGCCTTAAGCATTTATGAGATCCTTGCCATAGAAAATAAGCCTGATGTGAGCACAACCGCTTGTCAAAAAGTATTGGAGATTCTTGGGTCATCATCTACTACTCCAAAGGATGTGTTCTATGCCTTAAAAGTTAATGGCAAACTGAAATGCAAGGTTGATGAGAAGGCTCTCAAGGTACCTGCATGCCATGTCCACTATTATGTTTGTCGCAGCTTAAAATTGCTTCTGAAACTTTTATTGTTGTGTTCAAGTCTCCAAATTGACGCTGGTGTTTGTTTTACATGTAAAGAATATTGCTTCGAGACTTAAAGCTACTGTCAGTGATGCAAGTACGTTGCTCGACATATACTATTCAATAGGGGCTCTGGTTCTTATAAAGGTAATTCTGGGGATTTTATTTAAATGTGCATCGATATTTTTAGACACGTTGGCTATTCTTGCGGAGATGTCTCTGTTCTAAGATTTACTTCTTTGGTACTGTTGCTGCCAGAAAGCAATTTAATATATTTTTCTATAATTCCTTCTGATCTTTCAGTGTTATTTACAGGATCAGACTTCTAATGTTGATGTGCTTCTTGCCGATGGTGACGGGACTTTTCAATCAATCAAGGTTTTTTTTCCCCCCCTCACATTTACATTTAGATGCAATCTACGTTTGCATTAAGATAAATATTATTGTTGCCCATCTAATGTGATGATGGGAGTCTAGGATATAGAACCACAACCGATACACGTCATTTTCTTTTTGCTGCAATCTCAATTGAAACCCTAATACGGAAACTTGTGTTAATGTCATGCCTTATTGACAGGCTCTGAGCCAGAGTGATGGAAGATGGCGCTACAGCCCTGATAACCCTGAGTCTAGTACATATGCTGCTGGTAATTATACGTGTTGATATTTTTCTCTCTGTGTTTTGGTCAAGGTAGTCAAGCTAACATGAGCCATGGGGTCCCAATGGTAATTATCATAGCTAATCTATACTCACAAGTAACAACTAACCTGTATCTTGCAGGATTAGCGCTTGAAGCATTTGCTGGAGTGATCTCACTAGCATCTTCTGAAATTGATCAGTCTAGGGTAAACTTCTGGATCTTTAAAATGTGTAATTTAAAAACTCAAGGACGTAGGATAGTTGCATGTGTTGTGTAGGAATTCACTTTATGAAGCTTGCAGGCGGTACTGGCAAGTTAGATTTGAGAAGCACTGATGCTTGACAATTTTAGGACTAGTCTGTTTTTTTTTTTTTTTTTTTTGTGTGTGTTGTTGGGGGGGTAGTGTTTAAACATCTCACCTCCCCTCCGTTGAACCAAATATGCCTTAGTGGTAATCTTAAATCTAAGAAATCACTGTAGTTAATTAAGTTTTTGGTTAATCAAAATTTTTCTTTACAATATTTTAATTCTACTCTTCAAACACCAACGACAATATGTGAACAATGAATATACTTTCATCATCACATCATTGGGTCAAAGTGAATCAAAACAAACCAGAGTAGCAAGATTAAAGCAGCCTTCTGCAAGGGGCATAAAGTGAAATAGTGAATCTCTTCTGATGCTTAATCACTGTGTGTCCATGAGCATCAGAGAGAGGAGGGGGAGGGGAGGTGAGACAGCAGGCTTGCCTGTGGAAATTCTGGTGTAGACATGAGAGGTAGAGAGTAACATTCCTGCAATTTGATTGATGACGTGCCAATGCTGCTGCTTTTCTCTGATGCATTGTGTAATCATATCTTACTCGACATTGTTATTGGTATCTTATATTAGCTTCATACTGGCAGATTGATACGGCGAAGAATGATATATTGAAGCTTTTTGACAGCATTGAGAAATATGGTATGCGTATCTAATTCCTAATTCAAAGTTCTGTGTTAATAATTATAAATTAAGTTAGAAATTTATGTTATAGGTGTAGTAGCAATGAGGTCTTTATGTATCTTATTATAAGAGACAATTAACCAAATTACATTGTTCAAAATGTTGGTTAAAATTAGTTGAAGACAATAAATATGTAAAAAAGTATAACTTTTTTGTCAAAAATACCTTCATTTATGTGGAAGAAAGATAATGTGTGGGAGAGAGACTGTGTGGGAATTAAATGCAATGATATGAGTAATATGAGTAATTAAATGGGGGTAAAATGGAGATCAACAAACAAAATTTGAGACA